TCACAGCAAAGGTTATATAAAGAATGGACCAACGGGATTCATTTATTCGAGTCCACTGTATGTTTGGGTTTATGTAATTGTTATATATACACCTTCATATAGCACGTATAGTATAAAGAGAAGCGAGAATTCCAACATACCAGTTTTTTGCTTATTTTTACTACCGTCGCACTCATGTTAAAAAAGTAATTATTTTTAAAAGGAAAGAAACCTCGCAGAGGCTTTAATAAAAAAAAAAGGTAAAAAAAAAACCAATGTAGAGAAGTTGTACTTGCAACTTGTTCCAGGCAATAAATGAGACAGCAGGAAACAAGTCAAACAAGTCAGGTAAAGATTTCTTGGCAATACAGGTAAAAATACAAATAAAAAAACAATAATATTTATTTAATCGAAGAAGTTACGTTGCAATTATCAAACGGTTAGTGGTTTAATAGTTACAGAAATATGTTGACCAAACGAGAGGATCATTTAAAATATTTAATAAATTGTTTGATTTCTAAATATGGCTAGGCAAAAGTATTAATAGTAGTGAAATACACATGTGGGACAAGTGTTACAATGTGGTAATTGACAAGCATATGTACGAACTACTAAATGTAAAAGGTTACCAAGGATCACCACAATAATCAAGTAATCAGAAGATTTATGTATTATTTGTAAAAGAAAAATGAACAAAGATATATAGTAATTCATGCTAAAAAGCATAAGGTAAAAGTTTTTTTAACATATTTCTTTGTGTTCTATGAGAATAAGAAGCTTTACCCAGACGAACTAAACGTGCTCGTGGAACCCCTGTATTAAGATGTGCTTTACCTGATCTAGCACGTTTGAATTTTCCACGACCAGTAACTCTCCACCTATTTCAAAGCGAAATTAGTAAAATTTACCATCATAACTATCAGTAACTACCATTGACTACCCAATTTACCTTTTTTTGGTACCAGAATGACTTTTCATCTTGTATTTGTATACAGACTTCAGACGAACAGAATTATTAAAAGCATTTGGAAAAATCTTTTCAAAATATGGTAATATTAATGGTCGAACAAGTGACTGATGAACCAAATTAGGATTTCCATTTGAGCCATTGAAAATCCTGGATAAAGTTCTAATACTATAGTTGTTTGATGGAACATTTTCTATGTTGTGACGAAAGACGGAACCTAAAAGTGGCGAAGAATGAAAAACTAAACCCTGGCGAAAT